GGGGGGGGGGGGGGGGGGGGGAGGGCACTAAATCAAAGACCAAAGGCTTGATCTTCTAGACTTTAAAGGCAAAGTTCACGATAAAAATGGTTTCTGAGATTTCCCTATAATGTAGATTCGAGGCTCTCCCTTGAACCACACCTGCCGTTATAGGGCTGGACAGGACAGGGCACGATAAGGTGCCAAAGATTGGATCGTGAATGTCACACTCATCGTGGACGAGTTTCAACGGCTTTGCAGAGGCTGCACTATCTCAAGAACCTCCCATGTAGGAAGTTCAAACAACTTGTTATAACCCTTGGCGACAGTGAAAAGCAATTTCGAACAATTCGGCTCAATGTAGTCATCTCTTTGAGCAACGAGAGCAAATTAAAACTCGTCCAATCACACCTTACAGGGTGCATGTCGGTTGGCGCGATGGGCGGAGTCGCGCCGCCTCAAATGGGCCTCAGAAGGGGCGCGCACATCTCAGATCGCTCTCCTCCATCGAATTGGCTTCTATCATCTATACAAGAGAGGAGAGCAGAAGATTACGCGATCTGAACGAGTTGAACAGCGCGATGGGCGGAGTCGCTCCGCCTCAAATGGGCGGGGCGACTCCGCCCATCGCGCCAACCGACCGGCTCCCCACCTTACATGCCATTACTGTCAGGGTGAACTCGTACAACCTCCTCTTCCACATCTTTCAAAAATCCTTGAAATAAGCGGATTTTCTCGCTTTCTTCGCCACCGATGTACTCCACTACACCAACACTTCCACTTTCCTACCTAAAAAGGGTACCCAAAATTGTCGTGAACTGTGCCTTTAAGCTTTTAATCGTCACTGGACTGTTCGCTAGGGATCAACTGAGGATAAAATCAAAAAGATCGCGTTGTTGGCATAATAAAAGTTCGAGGACTAGCGGCGTAACTTTGGGTTTCTTTTTGAACTGTTCGATCCAACTCTGAGTTGAAGAGTTGGTAAACTCTCGCAGTAGCCAACATATTACCTCAAAGTTTCTGGTGATTCAAGAAGTGACAGTCAGTTAGTGACAGTTGGTTTGTTCTGGTTATTACAGAGCCTACTGTGTTCCACAGCAGTAGGTAAAACTGCAGTTACTGCCCTCTAGCATCAAGCAAGCTTTCATTGAAACACTTCACCTAGATCGAATCGAAAAGGGTATTGCGTTGTTGAAAGTAAAACTTGTTTACGGTAATTTCTTCAAAATAAAGGGAACCGAAGGAGTAGAAGAATGACATAAAATGTGCATTTCTAACTTTAAAGAAAAGTTCTTTCTCATGGACACTCCTAATTTCTCGATTTTTAGTGAACTTGAGACTCGGCTGGTTGAATCATGGAAAAAGGCCAGTGTTGTCCTGAAAGTGAATGGAGTTGATGAGGTCCGACGGCAATACCTGACGAAACTTCGTGAATCGACTCCTTGCTACGGGTAATATCTTTGTGTATTCTTGTCAGCGTTTTCTTTCGAAGATGCAGACGGCTCTAATAATAGCTCAGGAATGTTGTTGACGGTGCCACTTTGTTTTTTAGAGCTGCTTTCTTCCGTGGATTGATAGAACGGCCTGGGATCAACCCTCTGAACATCAAAAAAGTTTTCAACTTGCTAATCAATGGAGCTCCAGATACGGAGGTGAGCACTAACATGAATCTGAATAGACGTTTTTTCCTTTCCCTGAGGTACCTTTTAGCCGAAATTCTTCAAGGTTACTCCCAGTTAGTTGCCAAAAAATATGGTATGGATAATACACTCAAGTGGGAACAGGGTCAGGAGACGATACTTTTTCGTGCCCTTTTGCCGGCATAATGCTTTGTTCATTGGTTCTCACCAGCTGCTTCTATTCCATGAATAGTTTTTGCAAGCAGGAAAATTGTTCTACCGCCTGGTGGTCCTGCTTCCTTTAGTTAGCAGAAGTTGGAGAGATGACGGCCCAGCCCTCGTGCTGCTCTCATGATTCCCTTTTCCCAGGTCATACCAAATACGAACCCTAAGTAATGGGATAAATCGTTCTCACTCCCATGCTTAAATAATCCGCCTCGAGAAGCGCTGTCAATCAGAACTTCAAGTGCTTAGTAGGGCCTTCAGAAAAAGTCGTAATTGGTGCAGTCGAAGGATTGAAAGTATAATGAAAGAGATTACCTTTTTTGGTGTTGTGGTTACATTCGTCCTAATCGAAGATGGAGTTCGTCCAGCTTATCGTACTCCTATAGTCGAAGAGCTCCTGCTACTTGACAGTTCCCATTAGAAGCTGCTCTACGCTGGAGGGACGTGGAACTACCCTAGAAAGTAAGAAAAAAGAAGAAAGAAAGTAGTGCACGATACCCTATTATCTACGAGCACTTGAGATGGTTGAGGTCGTTGCTCGTTCAACCCTTCAAGCTCCTTTCCGCCTGTTCGAGCAAGGTCGTTATCAGTGGAGCCAACACGACTCTTCGAAATGCACCACCAAAACTTGCCTATGCGGCATCGTACCACCTTAGTAGATAACGAAGAAAAGTGAATCGCAGGCCATTGCCTACCTTTCTCTTTCTTATTTCGAGCAAGTCTGACAGAGCATATAAAGAACAATGGAGGTGAAGCGATGAAGTGTCGAAAGTCATGATTCACTGAGGTCATCTGATATCTGATGGGGGACATTGACGGAAAATTCTGACCGGTTTAGATTAAATCCATCGATACTACTCCTTTAGTGCCTTTGTTATACAGTTCTGTCTGATGAGGCGCTATATCATCCTGGATTAGAGAGATGAAGTCTTTTGAAACTTTCTGAGAATACTAAAACAAATTTCTATCCATGTGCCTACGTTATTCTGGGTTCGAACCGAAGTCAAGGCGCGTGCCACTTAGAGCGCGCACGACCAGGATCGGCTTATTCTTTTTACTACCTTTTTAGTAAAAAACCGGCTTATCTACCTTTTTTGAGATTAATTCAAGGCTTAATTCAATTGTAACCACGAAACTACAGGTGATTGTGGGTGTCAACAGCGAATTCGTATCCCTCATCGATGCAAACCGTCATGATTTAGTACTTGTACAGAGAATACGCGATTGCACATGGAGAAAACTTATTTAGTACGTTTATACTTTATTTGTTAGCCCCTTGTTATCGCCTATGTATCTGGTTTTCAGTTCTCCGGAAGAAATCAAAAAAGGCCATCAACATCTCCTATTTCTATCATTCCCGGATGATGACTACATCAAATCACGCAATGATTTCCTCGTGGGGAAAGCTGAAAACTTGGCGAACATGAAGATGAATATCCTCCATGTACGTTTATTGCACGAGCACTCACAGCACGGCACAATTTTATTTATCCATTTTTTGTTTTGTTTATTTACTTGTTTATTTATTTTTCTGCCCAATTATCAATTTAATACCTTCTTCTGTCTGTTTTCATGGGGTGCTCAAAATGGGTCATTTGCAACTTCTTGGTTGAAGAGTGCTCGTGCATAGTGCTGTTGGTCCATCATAATTCTACTTAGCGTAAATTCGTTGTTATTCAGATTTTTTCGAGTCAAACGATGTTGTTGAATGCGATGCTGAACTCGGTGAAATCTAATCTAGGGGAAGAGGACGACCTCACTGACGAAGTAAGTTGTTTGACTTGATTTTACAGCTAAACACGGGCGAACTTTGAGGATGTTCATCATCCAATGGGAATCCCCTCCCCGATTTCGGTTTCGAGGGATGCAATAATATTGAGTGAGCGAGGAGCGAAGTCGACACTATGGGAGGCCGCTGGGTGACGAAAAAGGCCAGTTTTTTTTTTCTGGGAAAGCAGCGAAATTTGATCCTCACTCTGACAGTTGATTTTGGGCGTCGAGCGTGTCATATGGATTATTCTTTCACCAACACTTTGACGTCATAATGCAGAGACGCAGCGAAGGGGTTTTATAAAATAAAAGGATAAAGTTTTTGGCGTTAATCAATCCCGTCTGAGGGATGCGCCCCCGCACTCGACTTCCATTCAGAATGGCAGTGGCGTAATGAGTGCGTATGTGGCCTATACAATGACTTGCGGTGTAGTGCTTTTATCCTCCCAGACGAGTCTGGTACCAATTCACCGACCCCGGAGGGATGGAAGGCTTGGTTGGCCTAGGCGGGCATCGATCCGGGATTCGAACCCCTGACCGTGCGTGTGATATAGTGCGCCACTTGCCACTACACCACCTCAGCCCAGGGTTTTATAAAAAAAAAAAGAAAAAAAGCGCGGGAAAATTATATAACAAGAAACGAATTTTTGCCCTATTTGCGATGCATTTAGAACATCTTGAGCGGATGAAGCAATTTTTATTGTTTTTTTTCACGGCATACTCTCAAGTTCGATAGAAATACTTTTTTCTACTGAAAAAATAGCAAAAAGCTGGGATCACCCGATTGCTGGTAAGCGTTCCTTTGGTAATCCTGAACAAACAGCGTGTGATGAAATGATAATTTTTTATTCTAATATCAAATCAGTTTAAATACATGACTGCAATGTCTACGGTTCCATTTTCGCCATTGCAAATGCTCTTCAGTGACGCATGGACATCAGATGAAGGCTTGGTTTTGTTCCCTCCCATTTTCAGTCTCTCGTCCATTACCGGCCGGTCTTCCAAGTTTTCGATGACGGCATGCTATGACCATCGTATGGGACTAAGCCGGTTAGAGAAATTCGCGTCGTAGTACTGCAGCCATTACCATTACTCACTGCACCAAGCTTCATGGGATAGGGTTCCAAAGCTTAGATGAGGGTGAACTGTGGCATGCGCCATGTTTGTGACCTCCTATGGAAATCCCGGACTTAATTGCGATCGCACGTAATTTTTTACTTTATACCTACAACAATATCAATACAAATCACAGCGAACCTCCATTGGGAAGTGGTCTTGAAATACGCAGTCTCCTCTAGCTTCACAGTGCCAAATCTTGTGGAAATACAGTTAGCACCATGTTTTAGGAAGAGCATATTTCAAAGTTCATACTAAATGCCCGGATCACGGAAGATGTGGTCCGAGCATTTAGTATGAACCTTGGTCCTGTAGAGTTCGCTGCCGTGAGAAACCATAGAATGCATTGACACCATACAAGTTCGTTTAGCTGGCGTTTCGAGCCCTCAAGTGCCGATAACATGGTGCCGCCGAAGGTTCTGGAAATTGGTCAGTTGTAAACATCTGCCCGCGAATAAAAACAGAACTAATTTTCTATCAGGGAGTGATCTTTGTACCTTGTAATGGCATTTGTTTTGGAGAATCGACTCACATACTTTACAACCGTGTAGCGTGATTTGATAAGAAAATGAAATATGGTCATTTTGCAAGGGTATGCCACGTTTCGATATTCCGGTTTACACAGTAGTAGAGAAAACGATTGGCTGTAAACAAGTAAACCATGGAGTTCTTCCACATTCCCAACACTACTAACTTCACCATTTCCTTCTCAGGGTTAAATGGCATGTTTCAGTTCTAGAAAACACCATATTCTAGAGCTTGGCGAGCACAGTGCTTGATTTTAACAGTTTTTAGTGGGTAAGGACAGTTAAAGGCACGGTTCACGATAAAAAAAGGTTACTGAGTTCTACCTTTAGGAATACTCAGCGCCCCCCGTGGGTGGTAGAAGGGACCCTCTCGCTCCCACAGTCTCGGCGCTTAGGGCATAGTGGAAGTCCCGTTGCTGCCGTAGTTCGCTTTCCCGCCTCTCGATCGGTGTCACGTTAGACGAGGGTCGAGACAATACAGATTGCTATTATTCGTTCTAGGACCCACGCATAATCAGCTAATCGCCGAGTGATGAGGCGATGTTTTNTGTCTGTTATTCGCACCAGGACCCATACGCGCGCAGTGAAACACACTGTTTAGCTCGTCCGGACGCCCCACTCTTCTACCTTTTTCTGGTCTCATTCTCGTCCAGCCCCCCTTCTAATGGTTTTTCGAAGCCTTTTTTCACTTTGGAAACACAGATGAACGCAAATTCTTCACCTCAGTCGCACTATTTTCGATCTTGTCTTCCATTTTCCATCATAATCTGGATTACCCAAAATTATCGTGAACAGTGCCTTTAAATTGTCGTACTCCCTACCATTCTCCCCACTTCCCAAGGAGTGTCAGGGCGTAGAATCCCGAGCTCTCCTTCTGAGCGGGTGTTTTGATAGCTGTGTCCAACTAATCCAATCGCATTGATCTCCTCTGTGTTCAAAGTGCACTCGCGGGGTGGTCAATCTTTGTGCTTAGGCTGTTTTGAAGGCACTGGAGGAGTTGAGGAAAAACGCAGTGGAGGGTATGACAAGGGATTAGCCGTCGCTGGTACGTGACAATCGCAAAAAAAGCGTGTTGTCGGAAGTGCCCGACCTCTTAGTCAGCCTTCAGGCTTCGCTCTCATACGGAAGGAAGAAATGAATGTAATAATGCGAAATCGATATCAAAAATTCATAATTCATACGCTTTTTTACAGATAGTGAGTGATCAGACGATAGAATCCACCGGATACCCATCTCCTGGTCGAACGACTGTCGCTCGAACGCCATCTCTATCGAAATCTCATCGTATGTGTCTAGCAAGTTTTGAAGATGGTAAATTTGTTAAAGCAAAAGGCACCTATAAAAAGGTGGACTGGGAAACTGTTCAACGAGGGGTCGAGGTGGTACTGTAGCTGGTTGCTTCCGTTGTATATTTCCATGTGATTTCGAGCTTAATTTTGTATTTTGTATCAAAGGAAGAGGTTAATTCACTTGGAATTTATCGGAGTCAAGAAAACAATTTATATTTTAATAGGTTTCCAATCCTTTTGAGTCAGTGGGTAGCAGGATCTGGGTCTGACGTAGGACGTACCCCTCCTGGAATGGGTCTCCAATGGGCAAAGGAGTTGACATGTGGCATTTAATGGCGGAAGGCGATCTGGAAGTGCCACAGTTGAGAACCAAAACCACCAGTTAGGCTCCACCCAACTTCCGAATGCATGCGGTATTGAAGAGTATTTGAGGAGCGAGGCTGTGTTGTTGGTTAGGTGGATCGGAAGGCTCACCTGATGGCATTTTCTGCGCACTCTTCCTTGCACGACGTTACGTCCATTTGGGGGTAGAGTCGCCTTTACTCCGGTTTTTCGGGGATTCAAAGCACCTTCCATGCGCCTTTTGCTAGGTATATCCACTTGTCTACTCCTCTGTGAGTTGGTGATCTTTTTCGTAGAGTGTTTGTCCATATAGGAACCTTCAATTGATCATGTTCACTATCTCCTAAAGGTTGTTCAAGTAGTTCACTTTGGTTTTTCGAAAGAATTTTTTGATGTTGTTAGCAAACTTCTTCCATACGGGTTAGTTATTTAGTCATTATCTGCTCGGTGAATGTGGGCTTATT